CCCTTATCTTGTTCTACTACCGTCGCGTCCCCAACATCAGCGCTGTAATCCTCCAAGATACTGTCCGCAACTGTCTGGAGTGTCTGCAACGCTACGACAAAACCCGCATCGAGGATAGTGAGACTGCGCCGCCCGATACTCCTGATACAGCAATCCTCTGGCCTGGCTTCGTTGCAGCCTGCGAGGCATTAGACCCCGAATTGCAGAGCTGCCTGCTAGATTGGCTTATCACGACAGGCCATCGGACCTCATTGGGCCCGTTTTCTGCAGCTGCAGGAACTGCGCAGTGCGTCTGGAAGACACGGTCCGAGACCAAGGATTACACGTTGAGTTGGTTTGATGTTATGAAGCATGAACGATGTCCAATTATTGCGACGTGACACTTTAACTTGAAATTATAGACCAATTATCTGAAAATATATTACGATCGATGGAAACTCTAGATCTTAGCAAGAGATCTAAGCCGCAAAGCTTCGTCCATAACAGCTCTCGGGATCACTTCTTCAATACTGGGACCAGCCGGCTTCCAGCTTAGCAACTCTCGTGCCCGAGAGGCCGTATACTGGGCGTTAGACCCCCAGAGAATGGCTCCATGTGCGGTCAATTTATCTGCGGTCTCGGCGTTGATCTCCTGAACATATGCGCTCCTCGTGAAGCCGTTTTGGAAAGCAAATGCGGCTACTCTTCGTGAGATCTCCTCGAACGGCTGCAATAAGATATCAGCAAACGTGACAAAAGGCAGGGAAAACTGAAACACGAACCATCTTTCCGTTTTCTGCAAAGTAAATGCCGTTCTCATTCCACAACAAAGGATTTCCGCCTTGACGGTCCTCCGATTCCTGAACCAACCTCACAACCAAGTTTGACAAATCCGCAATGTGAATATTACTCCAACAGCTCAGACCCTTCCCGATTTGAACTCCATGTCCAAGCCGAAGGGTCGCCTTCGCCAGGTCAGGTAGCTGGATGCTGCGCTGATTGACTGGACCGCGGCCCAGGCCATAGATCAATGGCCCGTAAATAATCGCTGTTCGGACAGTAGGCTGTTTTGAGGAGAAATTAAGGAGCATCTGGTCGACAGCTCGCTTGGGTGATGAAGAGATGATGTTTCGGATTTCGTTGATGCCCTGCAGGTCGTTGTGGTTTTGGGTGCGTGCTTCGCCATAGGAATTTGTTGCAACTTCCGCGCCAGAGAGGAGGCTTGCGCCCGAGATTTGGATCCAAACTGCGAGAAAAGTTTTTAGGATGGCGTTCATAAGGTACTTCAGAGGGAAACTAATTAGATCTATGGATACCTGGACTTTGGCGCTTCGTCTCTGTCAAGCCCTGCACAATGGCAGTAGCACTGGGGAGATGGTTCGAGCTCGCTGGGTCTTTCGGGCAGCAGTCGTTGGTTAGAAAACATATATCCAGTACTCAGGTGAATAGGTATATTCTTTCTGCTTATACGTACGAAGCACAACATCAGCCTCCGAAGCCTCGCTCGCGATCTGCGCCGCGCAATCAAGATCTCCAATGACCGGGGTCACGGATGGAAATCTGCTCATGATAAGGGATGCCTTCTTCTTGCTGCGGACGAGGGCTGTGATCTTGCACGAGGAAAATGCTTGTGTAAGGGCATACAGGACGTCGCCGCCAATGTAGCCTGTTGCGCCTGTTCTGTATATTGGTTAGTGATGGGTCACCAATTTGTGGTCTGGTATGGATTGAATATACATAAATATGCGGGACATCTTGTGTAGAATGGTGAGGTGCAAATGGAATGGTGAGTGAGGTAGCAATACAAGCCAGTAAGTCGCATGAATTATTTGCAAATATACTGTAAGTACCATTTCGGGAAACCCTTCCTAACGGGTGCGAGATCCACATGTGGCTTATCAAACCGGCAGCTTATCGCGATGGAGGGAAGGTGGGCCGCATTGCTCCCTTGGTTCGGAAGTACTAGTATACCCAGGACCCGAAGTCTCAAGCTTTTACTCCCATACAGGTAAAATGCTGGAGCCAAGACTCGCAAAGGTTTAGCAAAAAGGCGGATATGGCAACTTATAACGACATGAGGAATGTAGAGAACCGTTTCATCCAGAGTAAATACTGTTGGGTATGTTGACACGACAGCAGTGACGGTTGACGCCTGTATATATAAACCCTTGAACAACTAGAGCATCCAACACCAAATATTGAATATTCATCGACCAATTTGCGTTTACTCTCAGCCACAATGTTTATCAGCAAGTTTCCTACCCGCCAGCACTACGACGTAGTCATCGTCGGTGGTGCTACCAGTGGCTCCTCTATTGCATGGCATCTAGCCGCAAATCCAGACTTTAAGGGCACAGTGCTCGTTGTCGAACGCGACCCTTCCCTAGAGTATTCCGCTACCAAAGCCAGCAACAACTGCATGCGTCAACAATTCGCAACCGCCATCAATGTCCAGATTGCGCAATATGCAGCCGATTTCGTTAAGCGCTTTGGCACCGAGTTTCCTCCAGACCCCCGCGACGTACCCTTTACCCCTTCAATCCGCAACTTTGGATACCTCTATTTATCCAATTCACCCGAGTTTACGGGAGTCCTGCAGAAGGACCAGAAGCTGCAGGCTAGCTTGGGAGCCGGTACCCGAATCATTTCAAGGGCTGATGTCCAGCAAAAGTACCCATTCTTGTACACCGACGACCTTGACAGTGCGAGTCTGAATGTTGTCGATGAAGGTGCATTTAATGCCTGGGGTATGGTGCAGTGGCTGCGTAGCACTGCTCAGGCAAACGGCGTGGAGTACATCGCGAATGAAGTCATCGGTGCAGAATTAGAGGGAACAGGTGATAGGGTGCGAAGCATCGAACTACGCACCGGAGAAAAGATCGCGGTCGGCACCCTGGTTAATGCCGCAGGAACTCGAGCTGCCACGGTCTCTGATATGGCAGGTATTGCCGGTTTGCCCATTGAGGCTAGACGGCGCTACACCTACATCTTCTCTGTTGATGAGAGCCTGACCCAGGATCTCCCTCTAACTATCGATCCGTCGGGTGTTCATCTCCGTTCCTACGGCGCAAAAGACTACCTCGTTGGCTGTTCCCCCATCGAGCCAGACATTGCGGTGGATGTAGACGATTTCAGCTTTGCAGAGAATGTCTGGGAGGAGAAGATACTTCCGGTTATTACGCGCAGGGTTCCTCAATTTGCCAGCGCACGCGTGACGGATTCTTGGGTGGGTCATTATGAGTTTAATACGTTCGACCATAATGCTATAGTTGGGCCACACAGCAAGGTCGGCAATTTCTTTTTCTGTGTGGGCTTTTCTGGCCATGGTAGCCAACAGGCTCCGGCTTGTGGACGTGGTGTTGCTGAGTTGATTGTTTACGGCCGCTTCCAGACCCTTGACTTCAGTGTGCTTTCGTATGAGCGGATTATCAAGAATCGGCCTCTGACGGAGCGAGCAGTTATATAGAGCAGTAGTCTACTACTTACTATCTATTTATATGTCCCTACCAGAACCTGACAATGTTCGGCGGTCGCCTGTATTAAAGCCTTTCGGTCTAGACTTATATCCAATGCCGTAGAGTCTTCATAACATTACCTTGGCTGTGACGCTTACAGGAATGAGAATGAGTTCGTTCCTAAGGGTCCAAGTGGAGGTGGTTCGTTGTTATCTGGATGCTCAGTCATATGTGGGTGTCCAGTAGTAGTAGATCCAAGTAGTAGTAGTAGTAGTAGAATTCATATACCCGATATAGCCGGCCTTTACTAGGGCGTACGGCATTGATCCTGCATCTGGTAGGGGGTGTTCAGGTCCACATGATGTTGGAGTCCTCTGCAGGAGCGCGATGAGCTCATCCTTGGTTTTCTGGTATCAGATCGAACGAATCAATATTATCAGACAACATGATCAAGAGCTAGCTTGACTTAAGAAATCGATTATTGCTGTGCGTGAAAGAGGCTTGAGAAAAGCAAGAGGGGATGGGGATTCCTATAGCCGTGGCTCCGGGCGTTCTACCATACTAGCTGGGGCTTCCAACCCTCAAGGTGAGCCTGATCACCCGTTCTCTCCTGTGGGAATCTCAAGATAGGCTGGCCGGAAATTTGTAACAGCGATTGGTTCTATGGTCAGCCATTCTAGTCAGCCACTCAGAAAACCGGCGCTTTGGCGGTCAGGTATAGCCACAGACAATGCAAGACATAGTTACTGCCTAAAACGCCCCATCACGGTTCTAACCTGCAATCCGAATTTGCGTTGCCTTTCAGCCCACACACTTTGTGCCCGAAGACGCAGGGGTGCGAGAGGTTCTCGCCAACCTCGCCACCCCCAACAGTGAGAAAGATCAACACTGACACTCAATCCGGAAATCTCTCAACAAACGAAATCTGAAAACCAGACATGAGTATGTAGACATTGACCGGAGATTACGGAGTCCATGACTCGTTGCGGTCAAAAAGAGGTCTCTTTTGTTTATGAGAATGACGATATCCAAATACATGAATCGACTGAGCTAAATACCGAAATAGGAGCTGTTTAATATTGATGCTCCAGTCGCTGTGTTTCGCTGCATCTTGAGGGATCTGGGGTAGTTACCGGGGCTCCGGTCGACAGTACTAGGTTTCATTCACCAACGCGGCAAGGGCATTGGAGGGTCATTGAGAAGCAAATCGTTATCAACTTCAGGCATCGCTATCTGAGGCCGAGAAGTAATGGAAGGTGGGTCCATATTCACCCTTGGCGAAGCGAGATAAGGAGCACCGTCAGCAACCCACATACTCGGGGAAAGATCAGGATATCGGAAGGGTAAACTGTGACTAGACGAGGCGGGAGAGGAAGCTATTATTGGAGATGGGTGGATTGGAGGTACAATAGCTGTGCTATCCAAAGACTGGGGAAGCCTAGCGCCCATACTAATTGGTTTGGTTTGCTCTTCGTTTGACCCAGAAGTGGTGGACGAAAACGGCATGGAGGATGGCCTTCCATTCCAAAATTTGGTGGCGCGCCGAGGTTTAAGTACAGCACCGTGCTATATGAGGTAATCCCTGATCTCTCCAGGGTCTTTTCCAATAATTGCAAGTGGTGTCGCCCCAGAATCAGAAAGCGTGTTCACATCCACACCCGCTTCAACAAGAGCCTTCACAACGTCGCTCGATCTAGCCCAATTCTAAAAGATTCAGGCCAGCTCTTAGTATCATTATACAATAAGGTGGGCACGGTCTCAGATGTTAAACTTACTAGCAGAGCCCACGAGAAAGGTGTTTGACTGGATCGGTTCATCCCCCGTCGAAGCAGACGACGGACGTCATCGATATGACCGCCAGCGGCAGGGATGTAAAGACCATTGACGGAATTAACCGTGGTATTCACATGGGCATCAGCATTGGCCAGTATCTGAGACACCGTTCCATGCTCTTCCGATGTACAAATCTGGGTCCACACCGTTTGCCCGTCGCGGCGTCTGTTATTGACATTTGCTCCTCGGGCGATGAGAAATGAAACCATCGCTGGGTGATTATGAAGCACCGCTATCCCAAGGCATGTCTGTCCCTTGGAATCACGAGAATCTACATTGGGCTCATTGTCAAACAGGGCTGCTGCCGCATTGACGCAGCCTTTTGCCGATGCGATGAACCTCGCAGTACGGACGGTATCAGCATAGATATCCTGCGGTAGATTCCGTAGCTGTAGCTGAACTCGTTCAAAGTCATCCTTGTATGAGGAGTGCAGGATGTCGAATCCTAGAACCGGCAGTAGACGAGTTGTATGACGGGGATGTGATTGGAGATCCCAAGTATCCGTAATGATCCGCTCAGCAACCGAAGTATATAGTTCAGCCAGATTTCTCCGGGAAGTAGAAACATTCATTTGGCCCCATAGAGAGAGGAAAGACCCACAGTCTTGCATGACTTCAGCAAGCAATTTAATTTCGGTCAGCTCTTCTTTGTCTGTTATGTCACTTTCAAGTGATGCAGGTTGGCTCGACGATGGGGTCTCGCTTGGTCTCGCCAAAGTGTCTTGGGGCTGGCGTGGGGTCGAACCAGCAGGCGTTACGATGCTGTAGCCTTGAGGTGTTGCTGGACTTGCAGCTGGAGAATGTCAGTATATTCCGGATACCTATATCAGCCGGGTTAAGATGACTGACCCGCTGCGCGTGCTTGATCATAAGTCGACACCTGCCGCGGGATATTCTTCTGAATAGTTTTCTCATCGATCGCTTTTCCGTTCAAGAGGATCTGGGTCTTCTTCTTGGGGTTCGCATGACTGCGCTTTTCAATGCGATGGTTGGCCCAGATGTAGAAATCGCAATTGTCGTTTTTACGCAGTTGCCATTTCTTGAATTAGCGTTTGTAGGTGTCCTTGCTATCCAACCGATCAATGTCAGGGGGTACGGCGGTGATTGGGTCTGAGATAGAAGACATACCTCGCACGAATGCCAAAATTCCTTTCCATGGAGTCCATCAGCTCGTCGAGAGTTAGGTCCTCGTCGACGTAGAGCCTTTGGATGGTGTCTTTGTGGTCGGACAGACTCATTTTCGGATTGCAAGTGGGATAGAAGGCTGGGATTGAAATTTAGGGTTGGATAGAAAACCAAATGACTAACAATTTTATCAGAGAATCAGAGCCTTCTTATATTCCCGCCTGCCCCTGGTCAAGCCCCCTTGTGGTGGACTGCTGGTCAGGAACCGACAGCCTTAGCTTACTCGGGCTGTATACTTCACGACATGCATCGAGGTGGGCCGCACTTCTGGTCTGCACCAATCGTGGTTCTTCCCTGGGCAAATGCTCACTCAGCCACCACATGCTGTGTCCTGCCTATTGGCTCAAGCCAGAAATGCGACTCCATTTTCCACAGATTCTGGTCCAGGGCTGAAGGGATCTCCGGCTCCTCTGGGTTTGGGTTTGAGATCAATACACGCTTTTCGCGGCTTCTGTACAGTCTGTAGATCCTCCATGATAAAAGGCTGTCCACCCCAATGCATCTGTTTTCTTTTCCCACCTCCAACATCGAGACTGACGCTTCTAACAAGAATGTCCTTATCAGCGGAAGCAATTATAGGCCTACTCGCTTTATTGGTCGCCTGCGTTCCTGGGGTGTGTTGGATATTCCGACACATCCGACATCAAAGACGGCCAAGTAAACATCTAACCCGCTCAACTCCCATCTTCATATAGCTAACCCCCAGCTGTTGACTCCCTCTAGACCAGAATCGTCATGACAACCCCGAAACTCACCAAAGCAATCCTCCTCCCCTCCGTCCCAGTGAATCTACTCCTCCGGCCCAATCAGTAACCAATCGATCATTCCATCGGCAATCGAACCGTACCTCTCAGCCGAATCTTATCGAGCTTCTGCACACTTTTTTCTCCCAGAACCGCACCCCTAATCGCGATATAGAATCCGGGATCCTGTTATACGCCCGCGTAAGCTGCCTTAACACGAACGCTTGTTGAGGATTCGACTGACCGGGTTTCCAAATGGTCCTAGGCCTTCAACTCTGATCGGTTTGAACATATGGAGCCGTTGATGAGGACTAGTACCGCGACTGGCGGTGCTGAACATACAAACCAGCACGAGCACGTCTAAAGTGCCTGGGAGGACGGCCCCCAAACTTTGAATCCACCACAGTGATAATCACTATTATCGCGCTCCTCTTCAGCGGATACTCCCAGCTCCACTGTGGCCTATCTTCCTACCACCCGTCAATAAAAGATCAATTGGCCTGGTTCTCAAGCCTGACAGATCTTTCTTGTCCATCCTTCTTACGAAATTGTGGTGGCATTTACTATTATCGGCGATGTGTATGTATGAGTTATCCTAGTATAGTATAGAACACTTTCTCCACAACAATAAGGCTGAACTTCAGTGACCTCTTTTATTTAATGGTTATCGTAGTCATCATGCTTGTTACTGCAATGGTCTCCACCCGTTTGGTTTTTGCGGTAGAAAGACGCTTTTCTTGGGTACAGCTAACCGCTTTTTGTCCGTTTCCAACTTGAGCACCATCCAATGATATATATATATATATATTTCCCTTGCCGCCGACCTGCGCTCATGAAGTACACAAAATTACCTTGCCTTCGGGCTTTTATTAGACGCCGACTCTTCCTAGGTTCTGCTTCGATGCATCCAAGGGGCCCCCTACTTTCTCCAATATTAGCAGTCCAGTTTCAGTCTGAGTCTAATGATCCAACGTGCGTACGGCGTTTTGCCTATGTTATCGGAACAATGAAGTAAATCATAGCTCTTAAATAAATTCTAGTCTTCTCGCCGTCAAGACTGCCACGACTGGAGATTCATTATGAATGTAACCCTGGGGGCCTTGGGGAACAGAGTGCCCTGGGGGATAGTTTGCCCATCAACACAGGGATATTTTAGAAGGCGTCAACCTCTTCGCTGTTAGCATAGAGTTAGAGTCGCCGCGTGGATTAGGGCAAAAATTTCCACCGCATCTCCCGAATTTGGGCTTCGGGGTCTTGCCCGCGTAAGAATTAATTCTGCCACAGCGAATGATGTTCTTCCAAGGACATGCTTAAGGCACTACTAGATCTAATGAAAAACGAAAAAAAAAAATAAAATAAAATAAAATGAAATGAAAAAGGATCAAAAACATACAACAGAAGGTGTATGTCGGTGGTCACCGAGCGCCCCAGATTGGCCCGTCGCTGCTTTATTCAGTCCATTCAGTCATGTTCAGGTCGCTTCGGGGGCGCTGTCAGCGTCCTGAGCCGACCCCTCTAAAACGTGCTGCGCTACCGGGATGTGCTGACCGGGGCAGCCAGGCTGACCGGATATAAGACCTGTTCTTCTCTTTCACCAGTCGGAATCTGTATCTTCTATCCTCCACATGTTCGCTCTTCTCTCTGTGCGCTGATGTATACTACTAAGTATGGTGGTGAAAGGAGTACGCTCAAAAGTCTATCAGCAAGTCAACCTCGACGACCATGACAACTCAGAACGCAAATCCAGAGTACTGGGTCGGACCGAGAACCAGTATGATAGGACTTTAAGTCTTTTTGATGAGTTAGAAAACCTCTTCTTTCTAGGCATGTCTCCCACTTACGGAATCCAGCTTTCTTGAGCTACATCCCAAAGCCTCAGATCCGCCCGATGTACGAACTTACAAAGGATTTATGGAATTTGTGAGCAAAAATACACGAGGTCGGCTGGGAGAATATCCTACACCTGAAACAATGGAGGGATTTCGCCGGCGGTTCGAGTCTGCACTCCGTCTACGTCGCGACTATGATATGCCGACTCATATATCCACAACGATTCGAGATTATATCGCGAATGATCTTAAAGAAACTGTCCCACTTTGCGAGGATGAAATGCCCAAAGACTCTGTATCGCCTAATGATCTCATGATTATTCTAACACACCTCTGGTGCCGTGATTTCAAAGAGTACCGCGGGAAATACCCTGACAGGTCGCGAGTCCAGCTTAGCGCCTCTTTGCTGTTATACTGTTTTACGTCAGCGAGGACTGGGGAGGTGCATGAATCTACAGCTCGTCGAGAACTGTCACGGAAGAAGACGAGCTTGAGTACCAGTCATGGCGGTGATGATGGTGATCTTGAAGCTCGTGTTCTAGCAGCATGTTATAAGGTATCTCTTCCTCAGCAGAACTTTGTCTAATAGACTGACTCCCGAATAGCACTTTATACTTACTATTGAGTGGGTGGACGGTATCAAGATGCTCGTCCTCACATATTCCCGTGTCTATGTAAAAGGCTACTGGAAGAAAAAGAGATGGCAGCTCCCAATTCATGGGTTCTATGAAATATATAAAACGGAGGCTCCTCTTTTTTTCAATCTCTTGACGTTCTTTCTCCCCATGGCATGCGCAGATCGCGTCTTCATGGACTATACGTCTGTCGGTGAGATCATGGATGCAGCTGAAAACATGCAGGGTGACAATGATGAGAAAATAATTGCTAAACTCGAACTCAGACCAGAGATGGAAAACATTCCCATCTTTCGGCCATACGATGAGCAGGCAGTTGAGGATTCTACTGGTCGGTCTCGCGGAGCGGATTCTTTTGGTAAAGAACTTGCAGAACTTGGACATCGTGCAGGCTATACAGAAAATATTACAGGGCGTGCCTGCCGCCGATGGGCACTGATGGAAGCTGGTAAGTAATCTATATGTATTCTCCATCCCTCACTAATGTTGAGCTTACACAGATAAAAGCCACTCTGAAACTGCAAGAATGAAGTTTGCAGGGCATGTCAATAAGGGTACTTTCGGCAGATCATATGCACACCCACTCTCTGAAGTAGATGGACCGGCCACCTACCTTGGCATTCCCGGCCGTCATGAGCATATACAAAACCGGCGCAGCATGGGAATTCACAGGCACCCACAACTTTGGCAGTCGCTCCCCGCCAAGGCAGAGTTCGAGTTTCAGGAGCGACCGGATATCATTGAACTTGATCGACAGATGCAATGTCTCACTGACGAGCTGAGCAAGCTTCAGGATCCTATTAGCAAGAAGGAAGTGCAGCTAGGGCAACATCGAATATACAACGAAAAGCAGAGGCTTTATATACAAGAACTCCGAACCTTACAGCGAACACAGAGGAGAACGTTGGTTATACAGCCGACTGCTACATATGAACAAACACTTTTTAATTACACACGAAAGGTGATGCCAGAGCGCGATTTACTCGCTCAGCTTCTTCCCAGGAACGACTCCCTGCGAAGCCCCACAGGGAGAGCAGCTCTGGAAGCCCTTGAGGCTATATGTGCAGGTCGCAGTGCGAGTACCTACGGTGCAGGAATGCAATCTGTGAATGGGGAGTGTCTTTGTGGACGCTTGCTTACAGCGTAAGTATTTGCTCTAATATAAGTAATATCTACTAATAGCGTAGTCATCATCCTCACCGCCGTTGGTCCCATTTGTATGACTGTCATGAGAAGTACTTTCGCAAACAGAGCCCTGCGGATTTTGCACAGTGCTGTGTCGCTTGTTGTCGCTGGTTTACAGAGCCTGAAGAGTGGACATCGCATTGCGAACACCACTTGACAAAGCCCGATGATTTGCTCCGCTGCGACCTTTTAGTTTTCCGACATGCTCTGGCTAAAGCAGCATACTGCCCATTTTGCCTCGGAGATAGCAGTCTCAAGCCTCATGAGCGCATGAAACAGTTCCTTGATCGCAGCAAATGGGATAGTCACATTAACTCCCATCTTTCCTCAGACGTACTATCCAACCAATATCATTGCCGGCACCCAGCCTGTTCGGAGAACCTAGAAAGTCTGACGGAATTGAAATGGCATTTGGAGGATGTGCACTGTATCTTGCCCCTGCGAGGAAAGAAAAGGAAGGCTGATTCAGAATGACTAGGGTTTAACATGGTGTGGGAGTTCGCAAAGTGAATGACTGCATGAGTGGCTGCAATTAGCTATCCCTTACTAGTAGAACCCAGTGTTTTACTTTTCCATTAAGTCGGTTGTATATAAAATGACATCATTTGCTTCCCCACTCTAATTTATATGTGCTCAACCAGTTGCCGATAATTATATAATAAAAGGCTGAAATAGCACTCCTCCCTTCCACATGATGACCAAGTACTCAGGAACGTTATTTCCATTGATTTATCATGTTTCCTGCATACTTGTATTACCCCATCTACTGTAGTTTTATCTTGGGTATGATATCCTGCTCATGTTGTCTGGCTATACGTCTGCAGGCCTCGTACCAAACAACCCACAAGCTCAGTGTCGAGGATGGTAAGTAGGTATACAAGATAACTGACCGATGGTGGATACTAATCATACCTCTTACAGTCTGTCTTATACTGTCTTGGGTAAGTGCCAGTTACTGTACACCAAATTACTCAGGCTTCTCAAAAATCACAGGCTTGTAGCATAGCGACCCAAGTGATAATCTTATGTGAGATTTTATCTTTAATTTCACTCTTTAGCGGGGCTTACAAAGGGAAAAGGGGCTTTAGGCCACGCAGGTCTTGGGCATCACATATGGTACCTAAATGAGAAGACTATTGATATATATCAGAAGGTATGTCATGAACATCTACTATTATCTAAGGTAGATCTTGGGTTAACATTCCCAGCTGCTTCTCTCAGTATTCTGTTCATTTGTTTTCGGGATGTATCTGACCCGGCTTTCTCAAATATTGTTCCTACATCGAGTCATCATTATCACAGATACCCAGTGGCTCCGTACCGTCCTAGTTGTCGTTATAGTGTTAATATCCCTAGGATCATACACTCTGGTTGCTTGTTTTATCTTTGCTTGTCAGCCAATATCAAAGTCTTGGAACATCGCACTTCCAGGAAAATGCATTAACAAGGCCGCTATTTTTGTGTCAGTGGCAGTGTTCAATATCGTGTCAGACTTCTGCCTAATTGCCCTACTTGTCCTGCTGATATGGCACATACAATTATCAAACTCCCATAAAAAGAAATTCTTCATTCTTTCCAGTTTGGCTTGTTTGTCAGCATACCCAAATCCCGCTATTGGCGATACAGCTAAGAAAAACAGGACATTTATCGCGAGTGCTGTCCGCTTACGATTTACTGTTCCTCTACTGAAATCCGATGACCTGACATATAAAATGGCACCTGTGGCCTTATTAGTGTAAGTTTGACAACATGATAAATAGTTACGCTTGCTAAACTCATGACACTCAGTGGAATAGAAGCCAATGTGACTATTATCACTGTATGCTTTCCCGCAGTAAGACAATCAATCCGCAGAACTGCATTGAGAACCTCTACGCAGTTTTGATTTTTTGCATCTCATGTAAGGGTGATACACTTAATGGCTATTTCTAGTCCATGCAATCAAGCTCTCAACTGAAAAGCTGTCCAGGTTCTTGTGAGATTCGATCTATTTTATACTCATCAGTGACAACCCTCCTGTAATGGTTTTACGGCATTACCATAGAGCGTGATTCCAGAGCACATTCTGAGTCAAGCGTTTCTGGCTTTTTCGATGTGACTAACCACTCTCCAAATGGGCCTTCGAGTTGGTGACTCGTCTGGGGATTGCGTCGGGTATGGACATGCTTTTTACGCTTGCTGTTAGAATTTGCATGACTTGAGTCCCCACATGCCTCATGTGCATGGGTTGCCGCTTTCTCCTTAGGTAGTCTCGGCTTCTTCCTTTGTAACTTTTTCTTAGAGCCTATTGATAGTCAATTTGTTTTCTCCCGAAGTGCAAAATTTCTTGAGGTAAGATAGAAAGATTTACGGTGTCGGCGCTGGGCAAGACGGTTTTGTACTCGTCGTCTTAGAACGGGATCAGATATCTTTTTCCAGTCTTCCTCTGCCTCTATTTTGATGTCCGAGAAACGCTCGACTCCGTGTCGACTTATATTATTGCTGGACATGGTAACAAAAGATACCTTGTATTTGACCAAGTATCTGCCTGCAACATTCTCTAGAGGCCGATTCTCTAGAATACTGCACGAAAGCAGACTGGGAATGGCAACCTTTATATAAACTACATCTGTTTATAAGGTTATAAGTTGGCCTTGTATACTGAACCATCGAATTCAACAACAAAAGAGAAATTCAGTGTACCGTAGAGTGGCGGTGGTCCCTATCATGAAATGAAAGCATTAAAGATTATTAACGACGCAGGCGCCAGAATTCCCAGTTAAGCAGGCGCGCGGCTGAAGGTCTCCGTATGTTGTTTTCTAGACTTCCAAAATTGCATGCACACGGCAGAGTTTCGTTTATCTTTTTGCATAACCAACTCTTCGTAATCGGATACTTTCAGAGACTTAGGTCTACGCTTCCCTCATACTTTAAATTTTAGTGAATGCTGTCACTATAAGGTCACAGAAACTGTACACGAAAAGAAAATAATTTCCATATTACCGCACTATGATCTGATTAACTAATAACAGCGATCAGTGGCCTCGAGCAAGGTATAGCAGTAATGGACTACGAACAGTAGTACTTACTGCAGATATTGACTCTCTCTCTCTTAGGATTTACAAAATTCTATAGACGCCTGAAATGTTCCATTGCAAAATCTTTGTTAACATCTATCTGCCTCCACCCGTAGCCTGTCAAAGTCCGAACGCTGTATCTGTACCCTTTCCCCCTTGCAAAAAAAAAAAAAAAAAAAAAAAAAAAGAAAAGAAAAAGAAAAAGAAAGGGGGGGGATAGGCAGAATAATAAACTTCAAGTGGATGGCCAAGGGCATGCACACGTCAAGGTTCCATTCACGTTTTCAATAAAGTCATCTGCTCCAGTTAGCACCCTACCGAACCTCAGACTCAGGACATGCATACTCATGAAAATGGGCTGGTATGTTTTCCCGGCAAACAGGCAGTCGTTGTATCCCACGATATCCGAGTTCCAGAACTCGCATCCCGACAACAATCTGTTCACATCAGCAACTGGTTGTATACTAGTGAACTGACTTACGCATTGTGCCAGCCTTCAAGTACAATATCGCAGGATTTGATGGGCAATTTGCTTATGTTCCAGACTTTATTCTCAAAGTTATAACAGGTTGCAGACAATATTCCCGAGCCATCAAGGTCGGGATTTCGACAACTGGAACTGAAAGACCCGCAGGCAAGCGAGCCAACAACTGACAGGATAACATCCAAAGGTATAGAGGCATTGCTATAGTTTATCCTATGATTTGAGGAAAGACAAATTACTATTGATTCAGCACGAGTAAGGTCAAAGAATCGAAAGTTGGTGTGTAAATATCAACGAGGTTCGGGGGGCATTCGACGTATATATAGTACGTCATGAGACGCCGAGGATCGTGAAATATGAAAAGGCAGCGCGAGCTAACCAACAGCTAGGTGATACTACTTGATACAGCCTGACACTACTTTAAATAAGCGCCTAACTCATGATAAAATAGGCACATGATCTGGATAAACATACTTCATTTACTAAAGTTAGTATCTCACAACCGCTCGCAATACCGACCTCCGTCTATATACGGTAGTAAGATTTTGACCCATAACCACGCCTACCTAACTAAAGAAGTCAATTTGCAGGCTCCATTTTCCGGGACGTAGTCACACTCTTCTGCTGGGGTACAAATGACGCTTACAGTAGTCAGGACCTTAGCTCTACATGCAATTTGCTTCATATATCAAGTTCGTCACTTCTCGCACTCTTATCTGAAGTACAATCGGCAATCTGCTCTCCGTTCTTTAGAGGTGTGCTACATACCCGTACTAAAGAAGTCTCAATTTTGTTGGTCAAAAGAAAGCCATGTTCTGGGGTGATCGTTCAACAGTACTGTAGGTACAGGCCAGCTATCTTACATCTGATTTGATCTAACCCATTCTGCCAAGCGTTCGAGAAGGGAAGATACCTAATGATCAAGTTTTACTGTCCGCACACACTCTTGAGAAAGCGAAGTTACAAGCAAATGATCTTGCATGGCTTCAGTATCGCGAACATGAACGGCCTTTCGTTCCGGTTATAGATGAAACTATCCCGTACAAAACTGTTTCAATAAGCCTGGCGGCGCGACAATATCTTTGTATGGATACTGATAAGAAAGCTCGCTTGATGAGAAAGCCTATTCCACTGGTACGGTAGGTGTCTATTCTCAGTGACTGTTCATCAATCTCACGCCACCAGCATAGGCAGATGAGATTTACTTGTGTCCAACGGGTACCACGGAAAACCTTAGCGGCCGTTTACTTCATGACTTCGTCAATCCGTATTTCACCCGCTGTACTAGGTTGATTAATGTCCATGATCATATCTTTATCTCCTCAGGTGCGTGTGATATCGAGTTCAAAGTTCTTTCAATAAAACCTTTAGAGTATGGGTTCGTTACACAGAAGACAAATATTGTACTCTCGGGACTGCGACCATACCGTGACCTTGATATGTTGGAGAGCCTGTCGGACTACGCACGAGAACTACAAAAAGAGCTTGATTACGTATATTCGTCAAACTATGCCAGTTCAATTGCTAGAATCTCCTTTCAGTTTGGAAGACTTATTGATCAATTGGAAGCATTGGACCTTCCCCCAATGTATTGAATATGTGGTACTTTATATATATCATAAAGCCTTCTCCATCGGACGCTTTACTCAAAGTTACTTATTGCAGTGGTATTTCGCCTTTGTTGGATGGCCATATCGATTGGTCGAGGATCTTGGATTTGCGAGTGAAATAAAATTAGCTTCTGACAAACAACATGGATGGAGTAAACAGTGCAAGACTTGCCTGACTCAGTGGATAAGCCTGCATTATTCCCAGTCAGCTGACTGCCTAAAAAGCAGACGTACAACAACATGGCTTGAGGAAAAGAGGATTTTAATTGTTCTTTGGTCCTTGAAGACTAGAACCTACACGGTCTATTCATGTATTATGAAATTGTAATTGCCGTCTTTGTGGCTCGCATTCGTAACATGAACAAAACTTGATACTATCCCTCATGATATGTTAAATAATTGTCTTAGCCTTAGGCTAGGATATCAGCCCATTTTGAACTTATTCAATTCAGCACGAAGTGCTCTAATCTCTTTCTCCTGCTCACTTAATTTTGTGTCTTTGTATCGCTGATTTCGAAGACTATTGAGGAACTCTTCGACAATGGGCGCACCAGTATCATCCGGTGCTGCTCGGTCATCAAGCTGCAACGGAGGCTTATCTGCCTGCTGTTTCGGCTCAGCTATCTGTGGCACTGTAGACCGAGAGGATCCTGCCAGGCGCTTGCTGATGTGAAGAGGAAGTGGTACGTTGTACTCCCGATAAAGATCTCGAACATCGTAGTCTGCATCAATGCCCCTTCGTATCTCGCGATAGTTGGTTAGTGTTACAAGGTAGGGCTTAGACGGTTCTGGCTTGCTTTTGTCCTGGAGCCCAACCCAGGTAATGTTTTTTGGTCCGTCTTGTTTGAAAACAGCCCGTACACGGTACTTTCGGCCGTTTTCGGAATCACGCTCGAGATTTGTCTTCTCAATGCGTCCTTCCGATGCCATATATTTATCAACGCTGTCATGCCCGACTTTAGCCCCAGGCCGTAACTCGCCGATGGGGATTCTGTCATTTTTCGCGACAGCGACCCTATAGCCATTGCCTATCTTCTGAATGCCACATATCAACTCATTATCCCTACTTCTTATCCCTGGTGGAGAAGGACTTGGCTGAGGATTGCGTTGACCAGGTAGATCATAAGCCCAGGTATGAGGATAGTTATTTTTCGTACACTGATCCTTTATTTCGTCATTGACCGTATCCACCTTCCTCCGAGCCTCAATATTATTTGGATCTTGTTTGAGGCTCGGAAGCCATTTTTGCATCGTCGAGTAGGAAGAACGCAATTTTTCTATATCAATTATAATAGAGTTCATAGTGCTGTTCTTAGTCTCATATTCCTCTATCCAGCTATTCAGTTTCCGAAGAGCTGTTAGAGCCTCCTCGTCTCCGGGCTGCATTTTTAACTTCTGTATGTGACCATCGGCGAGCCTATGTAAGGTCTCACGGCCGTATTCCGGGCTCTGATTGGGAAGTCGCCATGTTTCCGGCCAATCAAACATTCTGGCATGCATGGTCAACGACGCCTGATGCTTCTGATACTCAGTCCACGCTTTCTCATCCCCTGCTTTGATCTTTGGTTCTAGAGCATTTATATTTTTGGCGAGTTCTGTGAGGTATGATTGGCCAATAGTAAACCGCTCAGTGGATGGTGGCGGTTCGGGATGATTTTCATAATACTGCGATATTCTGTCTGCCGCCGCTGACAGTTCCTTATGTGCTGCTTCGTCTTTTGCATTTTTGAATAGTTTCAAAACATAGGGAGTCGCTTCCTGGTATATGGCTTTGATATTGTCTGGAGCATTTGCCTTTTTAGCCTCTTTTCCATGGCTCTTGGACTCGGTGTCTGGTTCAGTGTCTGGTTCGTCATCATCGGATGAGTAACTGTCACTGTCGTCCTCATATGCATTTGGATGCCACGAAGCTGATATATTTAACTCATCACACTGCTTTTTGGTAAGGATATTCTCGGATGCGCTAATAAGCACTATTACCTCGTCAGGCTAGATAATCTTATGCTGGTATACTTGAACCTACATTTAAATGCGGCAGTGGCCTTTGCTTTGCCATCGTTTTTGTCAGGATGAACAAGCAATGCCTTCTTATGAAAGGCTTTCTGCACAGCCTTTGGATCAGATGATTTTGAAACACCCAAAATTCGCTCATATTCGTTCTCATCACCAGTCAAGATTCTGTCAATTTCTTTGGATCTCTTCTGCCGAAGGTTTCCTATCTGCAGATGGCCTTCGGATGCCTTCGCATTGTTAGTAGGCTGACTTGGTATATGCTGGACTTTCGGAGTCACAGAAGGCACATGTTCAGCGTCGCTCGAGGAATGCGGTGCCTTCTTGGAGGGATCTGGGATGGACGATGCATTTTCATTGTCGCCCTTTACATCATCCTTAGAGCCTCCTTCAGTCTGATGAGTAATATCAGGTGTATTCGGTATATTCTGGTCTTTGGGGGCCTTGGACAGGTTAGAATTGTCCGAAGAACTTGTTGCGACGACCGTGTCAGCATTTTCATCCTCATAATAGTCTTTTCCAGTCCTGACGTCCGGAGCAGGAAGAGCAGGAATCTTGCTTTCGCTCATTGTGGATTATTGATGGAACTTAAGACTGATAGATAGCCTGATGATAGATTGATAGGTAGTATAATAGCAGTTTCGGATACAGTTTGACAGAACCTTTCCGAGTCACAGTATGTTATGGGAGATTAAGCATATTTATAATTCTTCCAACTGTGCAGAGCCAATATTCTAATTATTGCCGTCAGCAGTGTCAGAGCACTGAAACACACTATGTCCTGCTGAAACCAATCTAATTATCAGGAATCCCAACAAGTAACAGGAGTTGTTCACCGACCGCTGCTGAGCCTTGCAAGATGATGTAGCTGAAGGCATTTAGCATTAGATAGTAACTTAGTCTACCAGCCTACTAATGCTAGGGTTATTCGTATTACCTTTTCTTACCTACATACACTATTTGCCCTGGACCAAATAGACTATTTCTGGAACGAAATTTGCTTCCGTCCTTCAAAGGCCGGTATGGTTAGACATGAAAACCTCGGAAGGATACTTATTAGAAAGGATATTGTACATGCTCCAACTGTCTACAAAACCCCTCATGTTAAGGCCATTACTTTATCCAGAAACATATATTAATCGAAGGTAATTAGCTTCTATCATTTCGCCTATGTACGTACACAACTGGCGAAATACGCTAGTCTTTATAGTTTACCACAGAATTGATAAGTGATTTGAAGTGAAAGTACAGGGTGATGTAGCTATTGCAGTCAAGGATACTTGGCAGAGAAGTGATCAAACCCATCAAATCTAGTACATATGGCTACTGTAACTTCCTTAGAGACTGTAACCTCTCTTGTCTTGTCTTAAATAGCTCAACCCTGGTCCTGGGTAACTGGCTTTTAGGCACCCATATCTGCATATGGTGCTTGTTGCAAGTCCCATATCTTTTTGTCTCAGTCGAAGTCCCTTCTAGATTTGCAATGAGGTCAAGCTCATTCTCCCTCACCCAGATGCAGACTTGAAATTCTTCTCTGCGATTTTTCACGCGTAGATCATTGATATACCATTGGCGTTGGGACGACAGACCTAGCATATAGCAAGACTTGATAGCTTCTGTATGGACTAGGTCATTTTGCCTTAAATTCAACTTCAGCCGTAACGGTCTCTGAGGCTCAGGCCATCGTCGACAGGGTGTGGACATTCTGAACAAACTCTCATCTGCTGATTGCTGTGATGTACTATCAGTACAAGAATAGAAAAGGTCCTAAAACCGGGCAACTGACCTCTGAAAAGATACTTAATATTGGTTCGAAAATTGTCTATACTGCTAGCGGACGCTATTCCAGCAAGCAGGATATAAGCAAAGGAGGATCTTCATATATGAGAGAGGCCTTTCGAGGAGATACAGGGAAACATGAGACTCTCCTTATATGTCATCTTAAGGTAATGCTTACCATGACTTAAAGACTTCACGAAGGCTTATCGTATCAGCTACGCAGCTATTAGGCTCGAAGCTAAACCCAGCCATATGAATAGAACCTCCATGTCCGATCCATCCAGGCATCCAACTTCTTGTTCTCCAACGTGCAGTCCGGAGATTACGTGGGCAATGCACGATTATGCTTCAACGTGCATTGCTTCAAGTCATGAATACCAAGGAACCTACCATAACCAGTCAACGGAGCATAGTTGTTCACTCAGACATCTGTTCAATATATCTATAATGCAGACTGTACGCGTCTTGCGAATAATCCTTATTGGGGTAATCTTCATCATTACGTTTTATATTATATTCACCTCAGCTGCATGATGGCGCTCCATGATGGACAATTACTCCCAAGTGCAAGGTGCTGGAACTACATAGTGATCTTTTTAGTAGTTTCCTTCTATTATAGTGGAGAAGCCTCTTGGTCTCCAATAGCTAGGATATTACGGTTTGCAATTAGAGGGTTTTTACCATGGCTCTAGAGCCGCAAATATACTTACGAAAAGCTCGTATAGACTAGATCAAAGGCGTAGGCTAGTATTTTATAGCTGTGTTGATTACATTATCAGACAGTCTTCAGATGATGATCGTTCTATAGTGGTGTTGATCAAGGAGAACCATATAATTCTGGTTTTTAAGTGCAAAGGACTTTCCTAGATAATAATCATTCAGATACATCTCCTCTAGTAAAGTATAGTTGTCGGTGTAATTATGGAACTAGGACACAATTATGCAAAAGCGAAACGAAACACAAATTCTGGGGTGGGCCGTTGTCTTATGTGCAGAAATCCTACGGACGACCAATAGTGTTATGGGAGACCATACATTTCATAATCGTAGACCAGAAAAGCAGTGAATGCCGGTGAATTACTCGGCGCGCCCTGATACTCTTGGTTGAAGTGGAAGCCGTGCCGGATGGCGAACGCATCAAACTCACGCCGGTGGACAAAGACACCCCGGATACAGCGATAGTAGTCAGGATCGCATAGACTGCTTCTAGCAGCGTTATCCGGAACCGGCCGTAAGTTCAGAGTTTCTCCTGCTAATGCAATCCGGGATAATATGAGTCGTGTCAAAGATGGCATTTCCTGAAAGTGCTGCAAAAGTGGCCTCCATGATCCAGAGGTTAGATCTACCTTCTCTAAGTGCAGCTCCTCAACACCTCGGTGATTCTCCAAGAATTGAAGCAACGCACTTGAAGTTGTATACATGCCAAGAAGCGTTAGGTTATTGAGCAGAGGGAGACGAACTGTCCCAGCGATCGTATCAAAAAGTCGGTGGTAAGAACTGACGTTTCCTCTAACGGTACGACGTAGGCTGAGAACCAATGAACCCAGGTTTGGCATATTTTGCAAAAGACGGGAGACACCATCTAGGCCATCGGTGAGCACTGGATTGGAATCAATCCGCATGGAGAGATCAAGTGCAAGGCATTTTATTGAGCGGCCTGTCGACAAGGACCACTTTCTTGTATCAAGATCATCCATATTAGCAGTTATCTCATTGCAAGGTACCGCGCAGCGTATAGTTTCACGGTAGATAGTCAGATGGTGCAACACAATATTGCTCTGGGCGAGAGCCAACATGGTTATCTTGTAAATCTGACTTGCTTTAGCCCAGATTATCTGCCAATCACCCTGGGCTCTGAAAGTGTCTGGACGGGGTGCAGTTGTCGCAGTAGCCTCTAAAGCAATGGTATCTAACTGCCCAATACGGTTGAGAACAGCTGCCAGACTATTTGCCGTATTGTCTTCATTCGCAAGTTGAGATGCCGAAGACCGGGCTTCCAGCCATTTCAGATCCATTTCTGCTTGGTTCAGCTCATCCTGAGAACAGACCCTAGCGACCAGGCGCGGAATACGTGCTCGGTCTTCACATCGTCTCGTGCGAAGAACTCTCTTCGTAAGCGATGGATCATAGACTTCCGCAATGATAGTCAGCTTTTTAATGGCTCGAGACAGAATTGGATGGCGGGAAAGTGCTAGCAGAGACTGCAGACTTTCGACAGTCAAGTTTGTGACTTGATGGCGGAAAAAAGACTTAAAATGAGGGCCCAGACATAAATTTCCCAAGGCCCTGTTGGTCAGGCGCAATGACTTGATGCTCTCAAGATCAAGATGTTCAATAATAGTATCCACTACAATCACCGGAGGCGAGGAAAACCCATTTCTAATTACGCGCATTCTGGCTATGCATATACTGTTGCCGTTAGCACATGTCGCTTCGCTCGACTTCAGTCTAGACTAGTTATTCATGGTGTTCAGGAAGGGAGCTCTCATCACACTTGCAATGTTCTTTTGATTTTAAAACGTATAAAGGAATACTGAAAAACCAGACATGCATCCGATGGGTCTCACGGGGTCTGGAAAATTTCCGGAAAAAATCTGGAGGGCGGCGAAAACATAGAACCTTGAAGAATCTCGTAGAGGCGCACGTCTTTATAACTCGATAGAGGATTTGAGCTGCTTATCTTTGCGTACTAATACAGGTTCTAGAATCCTTGGGAAGATTTAGGCCTGTTTCCCTGGCAGGAGGACGAGGACGACGGCAGGATAGGCTGTCAATGGAGATTACGGATCGCTTGCTTGTGTAAGTACTCATAGTACATTACATTGAGCTTCCATTTCTCTGCTCGGAACAATTGTTTGCCTTGGCATCTGAAGAGAGCCTGTACTGAGCTTCTTCAGAGATTGCGGAGCTAAAAGCATCTTTTAAGACAAGATTATACATATAATGTACTGTAGAAGTCTAGCTTTGATCTTTTGTTTCAGAAATATCATTGACAGTAGATGGTCTGTTGGGCATCCTGTCTTATCAATCCACCTGGAATTATACGTATGTTTATACAGGAGTTTCCGCGAGGTACAGTATGAGACTGATTATTGTCATTGTTCAAAGAGCTCACGGGTCATTTCATTAGGTCCCATAGCCTTAGTATCAGTCATGTTTTCAGGCACCATTACACCACCGCTGGTGAGCGGGACCTCTATTACCTACGACACTACGTCAATTTCAACCATCCACATTCGCCAGACAGCGACGCCTTTATTTACAAATATCACGAGTAATGATCCAGAGATTCGCAAGCCGGTCATTCCGCTGAAAGCCATCTGTCTTCTGATTGCAACACTGGGCACACAATTGCTCCACCTTATGTAGATACACTCACCTACGTGAGAGTGCTGTCATCCTATCTTCACTACACAGATACCTTGTTCCAGAATATGTATATCATAGTGGAACCCTGATAGTGTTACCAGAATATCATGTACAAGCCTCCACACCCGTCACCTGGTTCTAGCATCCCGTTGCCGCAATGAACGATTCCATATTCTTCAATCTCAAGCTGCCTTACACCATCAGTCCAGACTGCGCCTCCTTGTTCCGACTGCCGTAAGCAGAAAATCCACTGTGATGATTCAATTTCGTATATGTCGCGCTCAACTTGGAGAAGGGCAGGTGACAGATATGGATCCTATCGAAAGTCAGTATTGCACATAGGGGCAGTGCAGCTACGCACCTTAAGTATATCTCGCATGAGGGACAGTAGATAATATGCATCCAGCGAATAATCTTCCTTTATCTCCCAAGGGATACCCTCTTCGAACTCCCCGACTGAATCGCAGAGGATACATATATTCTTGACAACACCCGTTATGTCCGGCACGGGTTCAGATACAGTAATGATGGACATCTCTGTCTTCTTGTGACCCTAAGAAAGAGCACTGTTTGAGATGGGGCCCAATGACTGAGTTCAACTATCAAGCCCAATGGAACAAATAGTAGCTGTAGTTCTAATGCTACGTACTGAGCTTTCTAAGGCAATATATATAAAAATGATGTATTAGCTGTCAGGTGCTATCTTATATAGGAAAGACACATAGATGACGCAAGAGTGCATAATGAAGCACCATCCACCTTCATGGTTGCTCAGAAAGCATGACAGGTGTGTAATTGATTTGTTCTAGGTAGATAATCAAGCTAAATACATATAGAGCGCGTGGAGCAACACAGGCTGAATCAATAAAGATCACATGTACTCTGAGAGCTAAGTATATCGTGGTTGATAGAAGTGAGCCAAAGTACCAGTTTTAATTCTACGTCTCCGTATGTCAATGAAATACTATATTCGAGTACAGGGCATGTACCGATGTTCAGTTTCCGATTACCATTTGAGGCACGAGATCAGCGTGGTTGTTTCGACGTCCAATAAATTCAGCCCGGGACCTTTTGCAAGATGCCAATATAAAAGTCGGACGTAAGCGGCTCTCTTGATATCTGCTCAGGCGATAATTTTTCAACGCGATAGAAGGCCCCTGGGTCTTTTATATATAGCAGATCAGTGGAAAGTTCGTCACATGCAGTACGTAGCACGTCGGACCGAAGATCAGTGTACAGCTCTCCTAAGATCTTACATTCTCGTAAAGAAAGATCTCGGTAAGAAGTAGCGTTCAACTTTCGATGCCAACGAGGTGGTCCGATGTTGACGACACGCGGAAGAAGACATAAGATGTTTGGATCATTGTTTCCGACGTGCTCGACAAGATGGCACCAGTAGATAGCCTTCTTGTCTTTCAGGATACTCAAGATTTCCTCGCGGCTGACGGACCTATGCAGCGGTTTCTCGCTAAGGATCAGGTCTGCGACGATTTCATTACTGCCAGAGTGGTCTTTTTTCAACTTTTGTAGCTTCCAGCTAGCCAGGCGAAGACCAATGGTAGAAAGTGTCTGGCTCTTTTGATGCAAGCAGTAGGCATCAAATGTGCCCCAAGGTGTCTCGGAAAGGTCGGGGCATCTTGATGCAAGCTGTTGCCTTATGTGGCGTAAGCAGTCTTGAAGTGAAATCAGGACATCAGGTGAGCCGATGTTCATAGCAAGTTGCATCAACTCACTCGCACGGTCCATGCCAATGGGCATCTGATTACTGTCCTTGCGTGCTGCAATCTCTCTGACCGTATCCCACACTGTGGTGCGAAAGCCATGATGTTCACCGAAGTCTTTCCAGAACGTCTCAAGGGATCCGGTGGTACCATCAGGAGTTGGCAAATTCCCAGGCATGCCAAGTCGAAGGAGGCCATTGCTGCTCTGAGCTGCCTTGAAATCATGCAGTACCTCGCCGGCGAGTCTCAACCGGTAATCGGCAGGCACAGGGTCCTGGGCATCCATCCACTTCGTTCGCCGGCGGGTGACCCAGAGTAGCCAGGACCCGTCAGCCAATTCCGTCGGTATTGCTTGATGCTGAATATTCCATTGCGGGGTTCTCCTCCTTTCCAGATACAGTAGCTGAGTTACGTGCTCCTCAATTTCATGGCAAATCCCACAGTGATCGTTATCTTCTGGGGATGTAGCGCTGCCGCCTATATAATGAGTCAAACTGTCTGCCTGGCACTGAATCTCCACAAGTGAGTAGTCAGGATCGTCAACCATCACCAATAAGCGCTGTGGGCACTGTCGCAACTCTTTAAGCTCTACCCATCTCCCAGTCCATGTTTCAGGAGTGGTTTGTACCGCTGTTAGCTTGCGTGCGAAGTAGTTCACTGTCGCTGCCCCGACCGCCTTGTCAGAGCATATTAGCTCTCGGAGGAGAGTTTGAATGAATCCTCCGTCGAAGGTGGACCATGTGGTTTTGAATATATCCGAAGGAGAGATCTGATTAAGTGTCTGGGACCGAGCAACCCCATTCTGTAGGTCTAAGGCAATGTCATCCAGGTACGCGGCAAGCCTGGTTGAGGTTGAAGGACCGGAAGTAGACAGATCAGCAGAAAGCTCCCTAACTTCGCTACCATCACGCAAATCACGCGTGGCAGATGTCGGCCCATTCAAGCCTTGGGAATGGGTATTGTTCACGCTAGCAACAGGAGTCTCCAAGCCTGTAGGCATCTCAGGACGGGTCATGGTATTGGACCCGGCCAACCATTCCTCCCACGAACCGGATGAGGCGTGCGAATGTAAGTCCAAGTTCATATTCAAACCTGACTGGGGAGTCAATTGTGGCACGAACAAATGATCATCCTCTGGCACGAATGTGTTCAGGCCCGTGTTCGCCCCCATACTCTCAGCAGTATCCATCATTGTCCCGAGATCCTGGAATTGAAGCCCCTGAGGCACGAACCCTTGAGGCACCAGGTCTAGATCATTATTTGGCATTCCTCCGAAAAAGTCTTCTGGAAAGATAGCCGCAAGGTGGCTAGGTGAAATAGTCATGTTGAGGACATCTGTTTCCGCGGGGCTCGGCTGAAGACTATTCAATCGAGAGCTCTCAGTGACCGCGGTAGTGTCCTTCACGCCATCCCTCACCATAGACGATGAGCGTTCGGGCGACGGCATAAACTCATTATGGTAACTAGTCGAGGGCATCGATGGAGATGGCGACAGATCATCCGCATCATTGGGGCGAAGTAGGCTAGCGAAATATTGAACAATGTGGCGATTATTCGTTGGCCGACCAACATTAAACAGCTCAACCTATATGGCACTTAGTCTGAGACCACTCAAATACGATGGCTTAACTGTTACCAAAGATCTGTCCACATCTCCCCGACTGCCCCCGTTTTCCTTCCATTCATCCAGAGCTCGATTAACAGCCCGCTGCAATTAGATTAGCATGGATACGACCATGTTGCACAGATATAACTGACTGTTTTGGCTTCGATTTCTTGCTTGAGTTCAGCCTGCATCGTCTCGCAAGGATTCGAAGTCTCGTTTTGATAAAGAGGGCCCAGTACCTGATATTTCTAAGCTCGACCTGAACCAACAGTCGCATCTGTCGAACGGGATAGGTGATGGCCAGGGGAATCAATACGCCACAGTGTTGGTGACCCAGAGGTATGGTTCATCACGCAAAACTTGCTAACCCCTGTCAACCCCCCTCAAATAGTGCCAACTCTCCCATCGGTAATCCCCCTATCGACCAGGTCTCCTGCGGTTCTAGTTTGAAGGTGCCGTGTCTGATGACACTGATAGAAGTTATACAGTATCAGCACCTTCAATTGTCATATATATCACCTTTCAGTGACCTTTGGCATCTAGAGAATTAATTCCAGTACAAAAGCTTCAAGCCAAGAGTTAATGTGGACAGTTGAATCAAAGAGAAGCGGACCGGTGAGTTGATAATGTATGAGCTGCTCAGATACAGTATCAGTCTAATGCCTCTCAGGCCCCTAACATGACCAGCCCCATACCGTCTCGAGACCAGGATCCTTGGCTTGTCCAGCTGACCGAACAAATGTATTCCTACTGGGCCGACTGCCAGAATCTCCGCAATTATACCCAACTACTCCAAGCGCAGCTTGATTGCAGCCACAGGGAATTGGCGAGATGCCACCAAAACTATATTATGGAATATCACAAGCGTGCCCAGGCTGTGTCCGACTTAATGCAGCTACAGGACCAATTTCGACGTCTCAGTGAATGGCTCTCTGATGGGGCAGATAACTTACCAGTCCCGGTTCATCGTTTTTTAGAATTGGAGACCAGGAGTCGGTCGCTCAAGCAGGCGGAGATAAGGATCAGCCAGCGGGCACGCGCTTTGCAAGCAGCTTGCCAGGATCTTGAGAAAATTATTACAAAGTGATAAAGATTTCCAATCAGAGAGCATGGGCATTCCCAGTGGTTTTTGAACAGAAGTTCCAGGCCCATCGATTCTTCCTGAACTCTATCGGAGACCCACAGTAATCTAGGACACGGCACAAGGCTCTGGGGGAAGAAATGAAAAGTTTACATTCGGTGCCTAGTCCAATACTTTCCAAGTTTTGTATACAGGGTGACAAAAAAGATGGATTATTACAACATCCGTTATATAATTGTGTAGAGAAGTTACCTTATGCTATATGAGTGCGATAGGCTTAGATGAAACGGACGCGCTTTCTGTAGCTAGAATTCTCAAAATCTGGCCTAGCCTTCCTGCGAATCCGGAGTTCGCATGATTTGCATTCTGTGCGTGCCGGCAGCTTCGGTAATCCAGGGCAACCAATCATATTGATCCTAAGCCGATCGACTAGATGGCGCAGGGACAAGGGGAAACCACCTAACGGTTGTAATTGATGCGGGTGAAGCTCAAGGGCCAACATAATATTACTGTCTAGCCCATCAACTTCGAATTTGACAGGCACACAATATCTGGCGCAGTCGCAGCAAACTGCATCCTCAAAAGGCGAGACACCCAGCCGGGACGTCCCGAGGACAAAAGTTGAGGCTTGTGGATGGAGTCGGCGCAGTGCCTGGACCAAATATTTTCCCCGTAGCCGACCTCGGATGGCTCCGCAACACTGATAGATACCATCATTGTAGCAAGGAGGGGAGGAGAGTTCGAAGAAAAAGCTAGCAAGAAGCAAAGAGGTTAACGCTCCAGGCACTTGCCTTTCAGCAGTTTTATCAGCTAATTCCGTCATCCATTCCACCTGAGCGGCTGCGTTCAGGAGAGGCTCCTGATCAGGAAACGTAACATTGAGACGGTGGTAATTGCGCCTGTTCGCGGGGTCCACCTGGCCAAGGAGATCTTCCCACGCTTGTTCCGCGTCCATTGACGCTAAGAACGAGTCATAAAGGCGGAAAGCAAACCCGCGGCGCCACCGTTGGCGGCGCGGTCTGCCGGCCTTGCCGGTGCCCAATGAAATCAAGGTACCAGGCACTGGGTTTGACTCCCACATGAATGGCGTCTCAGCCCGACAGATCAAAGCTGGATTGTTGTGCTTGAGGCCGCCGTCCGCACAGCTCCCAACGCCAGGAATCTCAATCGGGGGGAGTAATCTGGCTTTTCTGTAAGCTCAATCCAAACTCTCTCGAATAGGAAACTGACCCTGGTGCTGCAGTCGTTGCTCTTCCACTATGACGGAGTCAGCTCCCTGCTTAGTTAAGTAATTGTTGACCTACCATTTCCATAACTGAGGCTCATGTTCCGGGTCTGGTGCTGTGTAGACCCGATAGTAACCACCCGAGTGGGCCAATGACGCAACCCCAGTGGTTTGCATCTCATGGTCCACGCAACGTTGTCCCGGGGGGTCGACCACCCGCCGGTAATTAATCAGCAGCACTGGCTGATCGGCCACGGCCGTCACAGCAACTTTAGTGCCCGAGACCGGCTGCACGTCAAACATGCCCTGGTCCACACCAAATTCCTTTTGCAATAGCCCATCCCATAAGCCTGCGTCATACCAACCGTCCTTCCACCAACAGAGGATGGTTCGGATAAGTTTATTCCAAGTTGTTCGTAGAGGGGGATGACCTTGAAAGAATCGCACTATAAGATCGGCTAATGTTTGCTGGCATTCACTTATAGGTCGGCGTTGGCGGAATGCTTTGAGTACGGCAATCCCCCCTGTGTGCCATTAGTGATTAATTTACGATAAGAACTGTTATATGATCCTACCACCACTTGTCCCAAACGCTACATCGACCATGTCTTGAACAAGACACCCGGGGCCAAGAATCTTTTGCATATATCCCAGAAACCGCAGCGGCATGATAGCCCGGACGCCGCCTCCGTCGATAGTGATCGCTCGAACCGACGCTGTGGGTGGTAGCACTCTGATCAAGATATCCGTAGCCTTATGGCAAAGGGCGCAGTGGCGGACAGAGTACTCATACTCCGCCCCTTCCACTGGAGAACCGTACCACGCCGCACATACATCACAGTATGCATGGCCACATGGCAACGGGTGCTGGGGGGGTTTGCTAAGACATAGTAAGCAGGTGTGGCTACTAGCTATCATTCGGAACAGCCCACGTCGACGGGCGAGGCCCTCTTCATGGATTCGACGAGGGGGACCTTTTCCGAGTAGAAGGCGGGCTCTGAGGCTGGCAAAGTGATACTCAATTGGTTGGCAGCATGAGGAGAGCTCTGCCGATCTTAGAGCCTCCTGGCAGTGGTGACGATACAATGTATCAAAGACGGCAGCTGGACTAAAGACTACTCTGGTCAGTCTTACTTCTCATTAATATTAGCCTTGACTTACAGTGTGATCCAGGAGGATACGCATCAACAAGAAGAGTTGATGCGATATGGGACGCTTGGTCTTCCAAATTCCATCCTCTATCTCTAGTGACAATGAGGAAGTCTCGCAGGTGAAATCTGTGGGATTGGCCCACTTCAATTCCAGCTCGTGCACCCCTGACGAAATCGAAGGGTGCTTGGGGTGCCCGGCAGACATGATTCAAAGCAGTCTGAAAGAAAAAAGCCATATGCATCACTGAAAAGAGGTATCCCTGCTCTTTCCTATCTCGTCGGCTAATATCGGCAAGTTTGAGTAGGTCATTTTTCAGCGAACAATGTTGGGCTATATCAGATAGCGCCTGGCCGGGCAAGCGGTGTAGAGTGGGCGTTACGAAAACCTCAGTAACATTGAGGTTCTGTCCGAGCACAAAGTCAAAGTCCATTTCGTCTAGAGTTTCGTATGTAGGGCTTTTATGATCAGTCTCCATAACAACCAACACACGCGGTCGGTATTCTAAGCTGGACGCATTATGGCCCACCATTGCCCACCTTATTAGTAGGTCCCGAACAGCATCCAGACCACCCAAATCATCAGCGAATATACAGATTACGTCTGTAAACATGAACATAGCACGGCAGAGAATGATATCTGAGGCATGATGGAGATCAATAAGTGGCCAGCGTAGTGGTATCTCCTCATATTCTCTGGGTATGCGGTCGGTCTTATGAAATTCAAGTCTGGCATCACAATGAGAAAAAAGCAGTGGGTGGTCTGCGAAGGTTGTGCGACTGTCAACGTCTAATTGGATGTACGGTTGTCTTTGAGACAATGTATTGTCTGGAAACAACGCACGGAGGGCAACATCCTTCTTTCTGTTGCCTAGGAAGACTATAAGTGAAGGGCACTGAGTCTGGGGGGAGGCAAGCTGGTCTCTAATCTGAACAAGGCGTCTGCTATGGTGTACATAGGCCCCCCCATGGCGCTCAGCAGGCTGTAACCATCTATGGCTCAACCGATCAGACATATTGACTTGTTTGGAGACCTCTACGGATATGGGATATGTTTGTTGATTTTATATGCGCGAGACGATCATTTTGGACTTCTGACCTGATTACCTCCGGACTTACCTTGGTCAGCTTTGATCTACAAGGCTTTTGAGCAGGACTACAGTACTACTATTGACGGAGTCCAAAGTCCAACATCATTGCATATTTGTGAAACGGTAAAACTAAACTATATAACAACACTTAGTACAAAATGTGAATCATAGCATCACAGCGCTGGCTTCATTTCGCGGAGGCACCCAAGCCTGTGGGCGTGCCTGCAGCACCTTTCCTTAAATGCGTAGGACGCACCTCAGATACAGTTAACAGCCTGTCAAACCCATCACTCAGGCAACTGAGGAGCACGCTTTTAACATTGTAAGCCCTCTCCAGCTCTTCAAGGTCTCTCTCTGTCCCTTTCAGCCGTGCCCGTAGTGCGTCGCATTCCTCTTGCAGCATTTTCACCTTCTCCCGGTCATTCTCCCCGCACAAGTCGATAGCCCCAGGATGCTGGCGTACACCCATCGGCAGATGCTCCGGGGTGTCATGGAGCTGCTGGATGATTTGATTGAACTCCTCAGCAGTATATTGCGGAGAAGTATTGTCTCGTAAACAGCCACAAAGATCGCAGGCCTGCTGTAGAGTCAGCAGACCAATTATCATGAATTTATGCGAGGACGTACATCTGTAGTAGTAGACATAGAGGTGTTGAACTCTGTTTCGGTATCCATTGTTTTGCCGCTTGTGTGCCAACTACATCCATCATGGAGCGGGACATGATTTATATCATAAAATGTCTTTCTCCACCCCGGGCTTTAACAACATTATGTGGTGTGGCGTCACGAGAAAGTTGCTTCGTATGCCGATGGCCATAAATATATCATGGCGTTAGAGCCTTCTAACATAAGGTCTATCTACAATCTCGAAGCCATGCAGGCGAATTCAACTGCTAGAGACCGTAGTCCGTCGGTGTATTCTCGCTCGGGAAACGCGTCTCCGAGTCGCCCATCCACGCCCAGCTCCTTTGAATGTTTTCTTACATTACAAGGTGGTCGCAGCTCCGCATTGGAGGCATTGCCGTCGACTATCCAACAAGCCAAACAGAAGCCCCTGACAGAAAGTGAAGAGTATCAGAGGGCGATTTTTGACGCATCTTTTCTCAAGGCTGAGAATGAGTGGCTTCGCCGATCGCGAAAGTCGGCAGCGGCGCTTCACGAGGGCACGGTTGTACCATCAGCAGAACTGCTCAATCTCAGTGCGAATGACATCCAGGAAGCCCTCACATGTTTTCACATCGGCTTTGCTGCTGCAGAACAATTAATTTACCGCTCCAGGCACTCTGCAGCAGCTGATGTCGCAATCACATTACAAGAGCTGATCCCCGCCTTCGAACAATGTCGAAGGGGATTGGACAGCTTACGCACTGCTGCGGCGAACCTTGAAGAGGGAGGAAGGACATTTTCTGCACAGATCCAGAAATCGAATCGCAGCTACGCTGAATTCTTTGGTATCAACTACGATCAAAGCATCGCGCCGGCAGCCGGACCGCGGACAAGGAGGACTAGGTGATGGTCGCAGTTGCAGAAGTTGATGTATGGTAAAGGCTTCAGTTATGGGTGACGCTAGGAACTAGCATTCTGGGCTTTATGTTCTGAATTACAGTAAATTTAAACCATGCTGCACGTATAATTTCATCCTCTTGCTCTCATCATGTCTATGATCTGCAATTCGTTGGCCCACACAGGGCTACCGTTTGTCGATTAAGCAGTTGATTCCAAAGCCAGACCTGCAGTACCAAATCTTGGCTAATGGCAAATAACAAGTGCCTTTGGATATATATACGTTATTCAAAGTGAGTTTAATAGCCGAATGGGGGATCTTAATAGACGTTATCGAATAAATGCTAAGAGAAACGGGGAAATGGGATTCTAGTTGACAACCATGTTTCAACGCTGCGTTGCAGTTGCTGCTCCCCATTCGACTTCCGCAGGAACTTGTGCTAATGAAAGTCAGTACTTCTCTCTCCTCATTGGCTTGTGGCTCTACCTGAAGAAGAGCGGATGCAGGCTGCTTGTTATGTAGAGCTTGACGAAAGTCTTTTAGTTCAGCATCGTCAGATTCATGACCCTCAATGAGCCTTCCCACTATGGACTCAAAAGCTTCGATATCTTTAGTATATTCCTGGTCAGACTGGAGTAAGCAGTCTCCGATATTTGCTTTGACTGTGTTAGTTCATTGTATGCTGACATCCAGAGGACGCTTCCCTACCAATCTTGATTGTACCTGTCCAGTGTAGACGAATAGTGTCCAGGGATAGATTACCATGTGATATACCCAGTGGTCCATGCATGTATTTCAGAGCACACAATATACCGTGACAGACTGCTGCGGTGTCGGCGAGGTCCCAATAAGGCCGAAAGCCCAGAATATCTTTTAACGAAGCAACACTCATCTCATAGACCATGAATATAGACTTTTCTTTGGTGTAGATATGCTGCAGATGTAAAAGATTACGGTGAGGTGCCGATCTTAATTGGAAGACCCTCTCTGATGAGGAGCATGTCTCCTTGACAAGAACGGAGGAGAAAGGATAATCCTTCATCATTGCATAATGATACCCGTTCTTAATTGGCGTCACCGAAGTATAACGATCCCAAATATCGACTTCATGTTGCTTGAACGAAATATCCTCAGGGCATGCGGAATTGGACGGGAGGATGGAAAGATTCTTAGGCAATTTCCTTAATCGAGACTCGGCGGCTTCGCTAGCCTTTCTGCGCTTGTTCATTGCGTTCGGTCTGTAGCTAGTATATTTTATAGTGGAGGGAGCAAAATGAATGTGGCACAGCTACTATTACACCGATCGATGTTGAGGACATAGTTGTATAGATACAACTTGGCCTTACAATTAACCGCAAGGTTGCCCTGTAGTAGGAGTTATGTGGATGATATGGATGCTGGAAGTACCCGTGGGTATACCCAGCTGGGTACTCGCCTTGGCGCCTAGATTATTCCATACTCGAACTGACTAGGGTCTTCAGTAAAAGTGCCAAGAAAGTACCCTCGTGGGTATACCCACGGGGTATACCCAGCTGGGTACTCCAGAAAAGGCGTTCCTACCACGATTTAGGTACTGCCACATTCGATATCAGATTCTCCGTTAACTCAAAACAATTTCTCTAACCTTATCCGAAGAAGCGCTAGTATGTATTTGGATTAGCCGCAGATCATCGATTGTAAATGTTACAATCACCGTTCGTAATTATGTGAAACGTGGTGCCTATCCTAGCTATCTTTATGCCCGGGGACGAAAGTACCATAAATGAATAGAGACCATATTCGTGGACAAGCCACGATCCGCAGCTAAACTGAATATGGACTAGCACTTCTTCGGAGAGGGTTAGAAAATTACTCTCTGAGTAAATGAAGGGGAATCTGATTTCGAATATGGCAGTATGAAAAGCAAGCTTCAATTAAATCTCTTTTCCCACTAAGTCGCGCGCCTATACTAACCATGCCGAGATGGAGTAAATTTGTTCCAAAAATGCAACCAAACATATACAGTACTGACTGATGGACTCTTGGGCTTGTAAGATGGCTACTTTTAACATTGTACAGTATAGCGCTCAGTACGGAGTATAGTAGTCAACATCATTCTGGTCCTAGATGTCTTGACGCTGTATACGCGGCAGTAGAAACAGTGTACGGCTCTCACCATTTATGACTGTTTCCTACAGTATGTACAGTACTGTCTCTACCAAGGCGCTAATCTATACAGGGACTCACTGTTCTGACCATCTCAGAGCTGGAACAAAAGAGGCATCCAGGTTGCGTAATTTCGCAACCAGGTGTACCGTTGGTGGCTAAAGCAGTTTCACCCCTAAGGATTCTTTTGTCTCCCACTCCCTATACCAAGCCATTGTTAGTATTAAACAGAAATGTACCCGAATCAACGATATTCCCTATTGCTACGAATAGCGCAATGTTGTATTAAACCACACCTGAATCATAGTAGTGTCACTCTACTTAAAAACAAGCAGGGTATTTCACAGAGAATATAGTTCTTCCGTGCATCCTATTTAGGGAAGGGTCTGGGAACAATTGGAAAGTATAGGCGGTAAAGCCTTACTGCGGGATTGTATCGAGATACTGTACACAGTCTGTGGAATGTGCCACGAGGTTACATACAATATCTATAATGAGTGACTGTTTTCTTCTGGTTTCGCTCCATATCATGGACATTTGATGCAGAAAGAAACAGTCATAATGGCAGGAGCAGGTCTACTATACAAGATTTCATGAGACTAACATTACACATCAATCTTTATGCTTTATGTGATGGTGAATAAACTCCCGGATGCCTAGGTTCATTATTGATTATCAAGACTGCACGAGTCAAAGCTCCAAATCTGTTACCCTCGCATGACTCCAGTGTCTTCGATCATCTGGAAAGAAATTGAATCCTAAATGAGATTATCTCAACCAACGATAGTCGGGCATTGTCATCAGTTTTACCTGCTGCAGTCAGTAAATCTTGAAAGTGAAAGCTTAGCCACCCACCAATACCACAACTATCGCTGACTTCTCGCAGAAAGGAGTGGAAAAAAAAAAAAAAAAGAAGAAGAACCTCGATACATACAGCCCACGGGTAGTTCTCCTGTCTTTCCGCCAATTGAGATAAAGGAAATGACGTAAATGCCAAGAATGTACCCGTGGGTATACCCGTGGGTACACCCATGGGTACTTTCTTGGCATAGTACCCACGGGTAGTCCCCTTGCTTTTCGCCAATTAAGATTAAGGAAATGACGTAAGATGCCAAGAAAGTACCCACGGGTATACCCCCGTGGGTATACCCCGTGGGTATACCCAGCTGGGTACTCGAGTGAAATGTCATTTACATGTTATCCAAACTTATTCTATTTGCGAACCAAAGTAAATACAGTAGTGCTACACTTCTTGACTAATCCCAACTTAATGTGTAGGATTATGTATACGCTATCCATTCCATAATTCCTGCTCGATGCGGCAGAAGAAATACTCGTAGATTATCTTAGTTCCACTGTCTATTCCACAAACCCACTGTATCATACATGTATACCAGGGTTTGAGCGAGCTTGCTACTTGAGAGTGAAGTAGATTGAAACGAACCTTCACGGTATGTTCAGACAAGTTCTCTCTACAGGGCACCATGGAAGACAAGCCACGGATCAGATGGGCTACAGTTTTCTTCGCTATGACCTGCAAAGCATGAGTAGATAAGATGCCGTAAACTAAGAGTATACTGTGTCGATCAAGCATATGCTAAGATATTTACGAGTCTGGCAACTTCCACATCCTATATGTTATTGTTATAGTAAGACTTACAAAACACACTAAGGCTATGTACAAAACCCCGGATCTATTCTATGTCTGTCTGTTGCCGTTCTTGTTTCCATGCTTGGTTATGTTATGAACAGCCAGCCGTGTTATAATATCAAGTCACCCTTGTTTTGGCACTTCAAGAGGAGACCGAAGATAGTATCGTGGTATCACAATTCAGTTCAATTCGAGAAATTCTTCACAATATGCCAAACGCTATCGGTATGGCATAACGCATAAGTAGAAAAAGCCCTACAGCTGATATTCTTAGGTATCGACCTTGGCATCTCGTATGTTTCCATTGCTGTTGCTCAGGATGGGAAAGTTCATGTTATTCCGGACACACAGGGTCGCCAGAGAATCCCATCATCGTACCTACTTCGCACCTCCGTTGCTCCCAGTGTCGGCCCCGCAATTCGGGATCGGGTATGCAGCCCTCTTCGTTATTGCAAGGAAGATCTCAGGGTCATCCTTGCCGCGGCCAAAGCCTTAGCCGAGTCCTATGTTAGTACGATTGTTGAGGATGCTGTTATCACCGTACCGTCATCTTGTCATGATGCGGAACGTGCTGAAACCAGAGATGCTGGGCATCAAGTTGGACTCAAGGTCCATCGGTTACTGAACACTCCAACAGCCGCTGCCATAGCGCAGTGGACTGACTCGCCAACGTCTGACGCCCATCTCATGCTAGTCTTAGATATTGGGGCCCGAAGGGCTGAAGCTACTGTTTTGGATGTTTGGAACGGTCTTTTTGAGGTTAAGTCAAGCCACGGTGACTGCCGGCTGGGCGGATGGGCGTACGATATCAAGTTACGCCGCTACCTCGAATATCACATGAGAGATAGAATTCCAGACAGAGACCTGCAATCACTTCTTGGCAGGTCCGAGGACATCAAAAGATCCCTATCGGTCTGTGAATCAGTATCTGATACGAGCGGTCTCGTCATTACGCGGAAGGAGTACGAGGATGTTTGTAAGGACAACTTTGCAGGGACAGTTGCCCTAGTGAAGAGGACTATCCACAATGCTGAGATTGAAAAGTCTGCCATCCGGGAGGTGGTCCTTGTTGGTGGTTCTGCCAGCACACCAATACTGCAAAAGGTTCTAGCAGACTTCTTTGGCTGTTCAAAAACAGATTTATGCCGTCCGCAAGTGGCAGCTGCCCGCGGAGCGGCACTACAGGCAGCATCATTGACAGGCCGATCGCTGTTCTCTGAACTGCTTATCCTAGATGTGGTTCCTAGTTCGATACATATTGAGCTCCTGCCTGGGCTTCTACTGCAACTCTGGCCCCGAAATACTACACTGACTCGTGAATCGACGATTATTGTTGGGGTTTTGTCAATAGCGTATCTCCCCCAGTCCTTCAAACTTATAGAAGGGGATATTGGTTCAGTCAGGACTCTTGGAACTTTTGATCTCCGCTGCCTCCGGCTTCCTTCCGACTGCCAGGTTACGATCGAAATCAACATCTCAGTCGATCTGAATGGTATCGTGGATGCAGATATAGCTCTGCACCGCCCGGAAAGTAACATTACTATTCCATTACAAAGAAGCCCCCTGGTGGACGACCACCGAGATATGAATCATGATGAATTGATACCTTCAAGCGGGACACAGTCCACGGCTTTACTGGAGTCATATATCAGCTTTCTTCAACTGATTATTCCTACACTGTCGATTGAGCATCAAGGTACCTTAAAAACCGCAATTTCCCATATAGAATCCACAGTGTCACAACAATATTCAGCAACAGACCACGCACGCGCCTTGGCTTTGGAATATCTCATTCGGTAATACCCTTCAGTCCCTCAACCTACTGTCAGCCGTATTAACGCTTGAGTAGAACAGCTGACGGCTTGATTAACAGCCATACTGTCCCTCATTTCGATGCTACAGATTGATGGGAAGTAAAACAACAGTCTATCTTTCTCACGTATCATTTTTAGCTGCTGTTCCCTTCCCGCTATCGCACTTTGCTCGTGTGTCATTTAAGTACGCTTACTGGTCCTATGAAGCTCAATTTCAAGCTGTAGAAGTAACTGCATGAATAGCACCGTGCACAACCAATTTTCTGATTCCAGACTTCTTCAGACCCTTCCCTCAACTTCAATCTATAGGTGTAGATCATACAATGATTTAAATAAACAACGTCTCTTGGCAAATTCACAGCTTAAAGCAACAGTGAGCTTGAAGAAAGATTAATATACGAGACACTCTCGACGAGCCCATGGGGATGGTGGGTAATCTGAGGTTATCAGCAGAGTGGAAGATCCTTGCTTCCACAGCAAATGTGACTTGTGCCCTTAACTCTTGTCAACCGTGAATGATGGAACAGTCTCAACTTCTATAGTGATATTGTGCATTCATAACGACTTCCATCTAACACCTAAAGTCTACGCTACTTGGTCTCATTATTAAGATTGTTTTTCGAACCCTAACCAAGGAATTTTAGTCTTATTACAAACACATGCTGCGCGTGTTGATTGATTGATAGATATTGAACCACATCCACAGTGACGATCTTACTTTCCCTATGGACCAAGCTTAAGGCAGAGTGGGTAAATTCAAAGACCCTCCAGGAATACAGCACGTTGGTCAACCAGCATCTCGCCCAACCTGAACCCTCATAACATTTCCCGTACCCTTCCCCAAGACCTTGCTATGGAGACCTTAATTATATTATCAACCCCCCAAAAGTGCATTCCATGTTCTGTTGTAGACAGATTGGCTTTCGAACCCTGACCCAGGCAGCTAATCCAGGGGCGGTTACCAACTCCAATTAGCTTATTCTACATAGAAGCCAATACGCAAGCGCTACAGATATTGATAAAAAGGTTAGACTTTCGGGCTTAGGGTTCGAAAAGTCGTCTCAAGTGGTAGAATATAGTATTGCGGGCGGCCCTTTAATATTGCCTCTAATGTCGGCGGAATGCAATTCTCATATACCTTGCATTAGTAATCTGGCATGCACCAACCCAGGCTTCCATCACTTGCTAATTTCTCCATGTATCCCAAGCGTTTCCCCGCAGAGTTTACCACTACTGGAGTTGCTAGAACTGCAACAAACAGAGAAGCAGTGTATGCAAGGAGTGTTTAAAGTCGCATTTTGCGCGTTGCCTCCTGCACAGGGAATTCTTGGATATGATTAATAGCTTCGACTCGAAAATGCGTGATTTTACTGCACGCTGGTGATGAGTTTCCGTTATAGAGAAGCGATGGGAGAACGGACGTTTGGCTTATCCAGAAATAGCTAGCTTCTCTCCCGGCATATCAATATCATTATTTGGCAGAATGATACAGTAATAACTAGCCAATTACAGACTAGCATAGGTTTAGAACCAAACTGAAGAGCTATTTAAAGGTGATACTGCTATTGCAACCAAGTATATTCCAGCTTACTCAACTGCATCTGGGCAACGCAGTAAACCGGAAAGCTTCCACAGAACATTGCGATGGGCAAGTCAGCCATCGACCAATACCTGTGGAATAGTAGCAGATAAATACTGGCCCCTTTCATTTTCCCAGCAGCTGAGGGTCTTAGTTCCAGGACTCAGCCGGTTCTTCTGTGAGAGAAAATAGTCGGCCTAAATAGGTACTGTACAATACATCGCTACATCTCTCAGTTTGCATCCAATTCTCATCGTCACTATGAACGAGGGCTCGTTCGCAAAGATCCAAGAGAACGCCTACCTCGGATCTGCTAGAATTTGCCTCGACAATCTCTATTTTGCTCCTCATGCTAGCAGAATCGATAACGAGAAATGCGAAGCCCGTCTCCTGAACCTATTCCGGGACTATTCCTGTGACAGAGATGCCTATGAGAACCGTATTCCTGTTGCAGTAAGCCAAGAGCTACTGCGGCAAGCTTTAGAGAAAGCGAATATGCCTATCTCCTCTATCCGTGAAGCTGTCCCTCCATTTCTTCCCCTTCCATCAACCATAGAATTATTGGCCTTACGCGGTAGGCATCGCTGGAAGGCTGCAAAAAGATTCTACAACGAACCAACAGATAGATGGTGGACAGTTGTCTTCTTTGATGCTAACGGTGCGCCTTGCCAAGTACGTACATACAGAAAATACTAATATACAGACTAGCACTGCCTCCCGAGTGCCTCGTCTTCATTTCAGAAGCAGATGATAATTCGTCGCCGTTCTTTGACGGAGAAATTTATTACAAAATCCGATCAAGTCAATTGCAAAGTGACAAAACCCGTGCCCAAAAATGGATGAGCCGAATGGGCTCCCAGTGGAAGCAAATTGACTATGCCAGGCTTCATAAGTCAAAGGATTTTGAACCATTCTGTCATGCACTTGATTCTCTTCTATCATTTCCCGCTCTTTTGTTCTCGTTTCAATTAGGAAATATTCGGCGGTTCTTTCGTATGAAGTGTCCTGAAGAATTGGCCGCATATGTGAAGCATGTATACACTGTATGGACGAGGATAATGAACGGATTTGATGTCAATGTACTTACAACATCTGACATTGAACACCTACAGGGGCGCTCACCACGCTGGTCTTCAGCTGACAAGGATTTTATTGAGGATGCTTTTACCGCCGGCAGGCTTTTCACAAATATCCGTGATGAAGGACAACGTGCTGTTCTGAAGAGCCGGGTAATAACTACCGATGGTATAATTCCCTCAATGAGGACTTTCCTGGAAAATACAAAATTCCTGGAGCCAGCTGCGATACTATTGAGAGCTTTGCTTCCTGGGAGGTTCCGTGGGACTGTTCGGAGCGAACTGAAAAAATGCTTCAGGGCCGGTCAAGAACAGACAGAAGAGCGATTTCAGCTATCGTATCAGCATCTATGGTTAACGGCCCTC